ATTGGTACAGCGTACAGTAAAGGCAATGAGTTACCTTATGACCAAAATCTATGCATTTTCTTGTTATTTCGGACCATTTGATAAACAAAATATATCCACAGCCTGGAGGAGTAAAGGTAATAAATTAGTGGATTATTAAATATTACATCATTAAATAGTACAATGACAGTATAATAATATTTTAACAGGTTACATTTGGATTATCTGCCTACAGATAGTTTATTAGTTGAGATTCAGCTGTTTTACAAATAAAACCATTTTCTGATATTAGCCTACACCACTGTGGTTAAGGTTTGATTAGTGCTAATTATTGTGTATTCATTATAATTTCAGATAATAGTACAGGCTAGTATAGTTAGTGTTCTGTCGTTCAAAGAACGTTTCGTTCATTTGACCTATTCTTGTATATGACTCAGGAGGAATGAGTAGTCTGAGGGAGTAATTTGTTAATTTTCACGCATGCGTAAACAGTCTTGGACTCTTACGTTAACTCATCACATGGCAGCTGTTGTATACTCAGGAAAGATTGTGAAAATGGACAGATTTAGCCGGAGTAGTGGCTTAATTGAATATTGACAACATATTTCTGTGGTTTTTACATGGTTTGAATTTGGTTGTGGCTCCATGGGGCTTTATAGAACCATGATAGAGAAAGATCAAGAGGTGAATTTGTGCATTATACTTTGTCAATTAGAGCAAGCCAGGCAGGCTTCTGTGTTTGAGAACTGTGCTGTTTTCTTTTAAATTGCCCACTAGAGGGCTGCAGCGCCGCAATAACCAGCCTAGTTAAAGAGGTGGTATTATGCTCATTTTCAGATTCCAAATCTTATTTAGGGGTTATACCAGAACAAGTTTACATGGTTTAATTTTCAAAAAACACCATATTTTTCTCATACTGCACATTGCTGCAGCTCCTCTTTTCACCCTGTGTTGTACGCTCCGCTGTTGAGCTACAGAGTGATGCATCTTACTTTTACAAAATCTTTGTTGGGAGTTGCACATGCGCAGTTCCCAGGTAAGGACTACTAACCAATCAGAAGCAGAGAAGTGCGGGTTGTAAGAAACAAGGTAGTGTGATCCAAATCAAAGCCGCTTCAGACTGAGACCGTAACCTAGCAGATGGTTTTAAGTTACGCTCAAGTCCACAACATCATTGTTCCACATCTTACCATCAGGACTAAACGTTGAACTGTTGCCGGTGTTCTGACGATCTATGCTGCCTTGCCGAAAAATGCTACCATAGCGCAAATCGATAGACTCGTCTCTCCAGAGATAGTACGTAGCTTGTCGTCATAGCGACGCCACACACAACTGCCGCGACATAATGTTTACTGCGACACACACACCAGCGATCCACATAGCTGTCTCTTTAAGTTAAAGCGTTTCAACCTTCCTCAGAATGTAAAGACAGATAAGCGGTATGAAAAGCTTCCAGCTGTGTTTTCCTCTGCCGTTGTTGCTGCAGCGGTCTGTGTGACGGCGGGAGCAGAGGGCTCTGTGATTGGGCGGCTGGCCGGCCTCACACGCTCCTCCCGCGGGTCACAGCAGGCTTCCCCCGCAGCCACTCGCAGGGCTCCTCAACTCCGAAAATATTCAAGCACATTTTTGTCCCGCCATCACTTCTCGTAAAACTGTCAATATTTGAAATCTACACAGCTGATTTCTCACCTCAAAACTTCTCAGAAGTGGATTTAGTGATGAAATTACATACGAAAACTGTAAAATATAAAACTTTCTGTTGCAGGCCTCTGTCTGGTGAAATGATGATGCAGTGAATAGTGAATATTCTCTCTGACCAATCAGCAGTCTGTCCTGTTTTTTTACGTTACGTTTTAGTTTCCCTCAGCTCACCTGGAACCTCGATGGAGGTGATATGAAAGAAAGTACCTGGAAGCAGGTACAGGTGCAACATTTCTACAATGGAAAACCAAACAAAGGCGAGTCGAGCCAAAGGGCCTCCGCTCAGACTAGCTTGGTTTGAGGGCGTGCCTGACCCCGCTAGCTGCTTGGCAAGCTTTATGACGCGTTTTCATTGTGACGTCACAAGTAAAGGAAGTGAAGGGCTGGACTACAAACGAGCTGTTTTAGGTTCAGAGCAGAGTTTTCTGTGGGAGATGTGAACTCCCTTTGGGCTGGACTTTGGGCTTTTTCACTTTGCAAACCTGTTAAATGCACAAAAAAGAGAACTCAATAAAGGAGAGGGGGAAACCCAAAAAGCAGAATACCACCTCTTTAAAAGGGCCTTATGTAGCTTCCAGCGGCCACTAGCGGTGCGGTTTTAAGATTGCAACAAGGCGTGTGCTCGTACACGTGCTCGCTTGAACTCATGAGCGAGCATAATCCGAAACACAACCGCTTTCATACAGAAATCCTGCAATAAACACAGAAACACCAGCATGCAGGCTGTGGCTTTTCTCCAGACATGTTCAGGCTCTGTTACTTCAACGTTCCCGTCTCAGAGGCAGCTCAACACCGGCACCATACTTTTCATTCAGCGCAGCGAGCCGCATATCGGCTCAATCCTCCCGGAAAAAAGGCAGAGTGACAGCGGCTATAGGCAGGCTGGGAACTCAGCTAAACTCCCACTGCAACCTTACAGTAATAGTTTTATCAGCTGCAGGTTGAACTAATCATGCTCGTTACATGATCACGGTATATTTATTGCATTTAGCTGACGTGCTACATCGTTAGCTCAGCTGCTGCTTTCAGTAACTAACTTTACTATCTGTGAATCTGTCTCCGGAGGCTCAGCAATGTCAGCACAGCTACATGTGTTGGATAACGAAACGGGCAGTGAGCTGGACTGAATATTATTATGAGATTGTCACATTTTATAATAATAAGACCGCAGTAAGTAACTTTACTGTAACTAGTGTTAGTGGATGGCTCCTCCTCTGGGTTGTATATGTGGGTCATGTTAGTTACAGCGACTGAGAGGTGGAGAAGCTGTGTACCTGAGTATTGGTAAAAGGCAATAAATCTAAATTGAACGTTACGAAGCAAAAAGCGGCAGGTCTGAGCTAATGTAGCGTTAGCTGGCTGCTCCTGGCTGCATCACTAGAGGATAGTAAACAAATCGTTCCACATTTGCTTTTTACTGTTCCATCATTTCTTGCAGGTTTTGACACTATGACATAATATCTGTGGTACACAGGATAGTAATGTAAGTCGCGTTAGTTGGTTAATTAATGTGGAAATCGATCGGATAACATTAGCAACTGCTCGGCGTTAGCCGGCGAGCTAACGTGACTTTCTCTGTGTTTCTCACTTTGTTCTTACTCAACATCTGAGCCCGTTTGGTCTGATGGGCTTCAGAACATGAACCTTTCTTGTTGTTTTGGATCCTTACGTGGAGTCTGTGTTTTGCTGTGAGCCGGTTGTTTTATGGTGTTAGTGGGCTGCATGTCGTTAGCTGCCGTGTGGTCGCTGTAGTACGAGAGGCTCGGGAGCGCACAGGGCTGAATCCGATCCGGAGACCTCACATTAAAAGCAGAATAGTGTCTGATGCAAGCAACGGAGAAAACAGGCGTGTGCTTCATTTCTAAGTGACTTTTGAGCCCACTGACAATAAGGTAATGACAATTTGATTTATTAAAATATAAAACTTGTGACTTTTCCCATCACTAAAGCGTACCATAGTAGCCTATAATATTAATTCCAGTTGGAGAAAACAGCAGTTTAATTTTTGAGTTGTTTTCAGTCATTCAATTATTGTGCAAGAAAAATGCTCTACATGGTAGTTGGTCTCTCATTTGTTTATGTAAAGTATTAACTTGTCAATAATAAAAACTGCATAAAGAACAACGAGTTCAAATTTCTAAACTGTGCTGAGGTGCCTCAATCTTTTTATTATATTCTGCCTACCCCAGGCTGTGATTGGTTGGTACACGAAAAAAGAATTTGGCGAGCAACTAACGCAAACTGCTGCATGAAAGGCTCCCGATCTCCCTGTGGAGATTAGCAGGCGAGAACAGGAACAGGTGAGCGTCACATAGTGCCCAGAAAACCTGATCTGGAGAGGGCAGAGGAGAGTCCTGGTGCGCCAAAGAGTAAAATGTAAAAGTGACAGTACCGGTGAATACCAGCACACTTCAAGCACAAACGGCTTTTATATTGTGATAAATAACAGGAAGTCATCATCGTTCAAGCGCAGTCCAACTAACAGCAGCCGGTTTATTAATCCAGTGCCAGCTGCATGTGTACAATACAGCAACTGTGGATGAGAGGAGGTGACTGCTGGAAGACAAGACGTCGTATTTAAGTTCATGTTCTGCTTGCTCAACAGTTGTTTGATAAATGGCTATTAATTCACATTTTTTCCCCCCCAATTCTGATCATTTTGGGGCAGGTGATTTTCATTTGGCGCTCGCTAAACCCTCTTTGGGGGGCGGCAAAAATTTCTCTATGCAGGAAAAACCCTGAGCTGTTTTTGTGCCGAGAGATTTTGGTCCTGAAGGACTGCAGCCTCTTGCCAGAGGAGAGAGTCTGAAACAGACTTGCCTTTAGTGTTACTGATGTAAAAGAAATAAACATACTGATATAATTTCTTACATTAAGGTGACCAGATGGAAAAGGAGAACAATGTAACAAACTTACATTTACTTACAAAGGCTCTCTATTAGTGAACATTACTAAAGTAACAGTCTATTAAATCCTACCGGAGAAAAAACTTAATTAGGACGGAGAGGGGAAGGTTCTGTTTGCTCAAACAATAATTATAGATATTGTATAGATTCTGATAATGGACATATCATATGAAAAAGCTAAAGAAACTGCAGAGAAATAATAGAATAGCAAAAACTGTATCAAGCTATCATGAAAAAACTTTAAATCATGTTAGTTCCAGCAGATCACAGATATTAAATGTCTTTGTGTCTGTAATAAAAACACATGTAGAAGTATTTTAATGAGTTTATAGTGTGTATATGTTTTATATTGTCCGTGTGTGTAAAGTGTGTGTGTGTAAGCTTTACATTGCTGATAATCACATCTGGACTTACCGAGCCTTTCTGCAGTTCCTCACAGCTGGAATCAGTCTCAGTCGTCCCTCCACTGACGTGTTGTACGTCTTGAGGTCCAACTCATCCAGAACCTCCTCTGACATCTGCAGCATGAAGGCCAGAGCTGAGCAGTGGATCTCAGAGAGTTCCTTCTCTGATCTGTTCTCTGACTTCAGGAACTCTTGGATCTCCTGATGTACTGAGTGGTCGTTCATCTCCGTCAGACAGTGGAAGATGTTGATGCTTCTGTCAGGAGAGATCTCACCACTGTTCATCTTCTTCAGGTTGTTGATGGCTCTCTGGATGATTTCTGGACTGTTGTCTGTCCGACCCAGCAGGCCTCCTAAGAGTCTCTGGTTGGACTCCAGAGAGAGGCCATGAAGGAAGCGAACAAACAGGTCCAGGTGGCCATTTTCACTTTGGAGAGATTTCTCCATGGCTTTCATCAGGAAGATCTCCAGCAAGGTCTGTCCCAGGAAAGAATCCAGTGCTGTTGTGTTGCTGCTGGTGTAACAGTGGAACATGTAGACTGCAGCCAGAAACTCCTGAACGCTCAGATGAACAAAGCAGTAGACTGTTTTCTGGAAGATCACACTCTCTCTTTTGAAGATCTCTGTACAAACTCCTGAGTACACCGAGGCCTCTGTGACATCAAGACCACACTGCTCCAGGTCTTCTTGGTAGAACATGATGTTTCCTTTCTCCAGCTGTTCAAACGCCAGCCTCCCCAGCTTCAGAAGAACCTCCCTGTCAGCCTCCGTCAGCTCCTGTGGACTCGTCTCATGTCCCTCATCGTACTTCTGCTTCTTCCTCTTTATCTGAACCAGCAGGAAGTGTGAGTACAGGTCAGTCAGGGTCTTGGGCAGCTCTCCTCTCTGCTCTGTAGTCAACATGTGCTCCAGAACTGTAGCAGTGATCCAGCAGAAGACTGGGATTAGACACATGATGTGGAGGCTCCTGGAGGTCTTGATGTGTGAGATGATTCTGCTGGACAGCTCTTCATCACTGACTCTCCTCCTGAAGTACTCCTCCTTCTGGGCGTCAGTGAAGCCTCGTACTTCTGTTACCCTGCCGACACACGAAGGAGGGATCTGATTGGCCGCCGCAGGTCGGGAAGTTATCCAGACGAGAGCCGAGGGAAGCAGATTCCCCTCGATGAGGTTTGTCAGCAGCAGGTTGACTGATGACTTCTGTGTGACATCAGACACAACCTCACTGTTGTGGAAATCCAATGAAAGTCTGCTTTCATCCAGGCCGTCAAAGATGAACAACAGTTTCCAGACGGCGAGCTTCTCTGCTGGGACCTTCTGTAATGTTGGATGGAAAACATGGAGCAGCGTGAGGAGACTGTGCCGCTCATCTTTGATCAAGTTCAGCTCCCTGAACGAGAGCAGAACCAGCAGACCGACATCTTGGTTTTCCGAGCACTCTGCCCAGTCCAGAGTGAACTTATCCACTGAGAAGGTTTTTCCAACGCCAGCAACGCCGTTGGTCAGAACCACTCTGATGGCTCTCTGTTGGCCAGGTAAGGCTTTAAAGATGTCCTGGCACCTGATTGGAGCGTCATGGAGGGTCTTCTTCTTGGAAGCTGTCTCAAGCTGCCTCACCTCATGCTGGGTATTAACCTCTTCACTCTGTCCCTCTGTGATGTAGAGCTCAGTGTAGATCCTGTTGAGGAGGGTTCCACTTCCTGTTTCATCACTTCCTTCAGTCACACGTTCACATCTCCTCCTCAGACTGATCTTATGTTCATCTAAAACCTCCTGCAGACCACCTCTCACTAAAGAAGAGAAGAAAGTTGAGACAAAGAAGTTGTTAAAGTTCCTGATTTGTGCACTTTTTGGGGTCATTTTATAATCAGTAGCTTGTTTTTACTTTTTTGGACAATGCAGATTTATTTCATCTATATTTCAGTTGCATTGCATGTTTTCATTGTGCAAATAAATGGTGGGACAAAATCAGCCATTTCAAAAATCCAGCATAAATGACACCACAGGTGGGTTTAAGTATTTAACCAATACTCAGGTTGCCAACAACCTCATATCTATTGTTGACATAATTGTCAACTACGGTTGAAGTGGGGAAAAAGCTGCTGGTACTCCTCATTCAGATGTTTGAATGTGTGTCAGCCGGTACCAGAGCTAACGTTCACTATAATTTCAGATAAGAGTATACTATATAGCTTACCACTTATATAATATTAATTCCAGTTGGACAAAACAGGAGATTCATTTTTATAATTTTAATTCATTAAATTCTTCAGTAAGAGTCTCTAATGCTGTTTAATGCTATGTACTAACTCCTCAATAATAACTTGTGCAATACAACTGGAGCCCGACCAATTTATCAGCGGCCGATATGAGCTAATGGCATTTAATCTGCATCGGCCGTTTATAACGACAGAGATATGACTATTAAAAAAGACAGTAAAAAAAAGTAAAAAAAACATTTACTCATTTGGCAGACGTTTTTATCCAAAGCGACTTACATTTGAGGAACAACATACAAGCATCAACAGAGCATCAACTACAGATCTACAACTGACAATACATACTAGTAAGAGCTCACAGTACACATCACATCAATGGGGTAGATACCTAGAGAAGGAAGTAAGAGTTAACAAAAAGTGCAATCAAAACAAGATAATTGTAGGGGGACAGAAGAAGAAGAGCACAGGAAGTGCATGTTAGAGGTTAGGAGTTAGAGGTGTTATCAGAGGAAGTGTAACAGAGTCAGATCCTTCACTCACATCATGGGTGTTTCATAGTTTGCACAGCAGAGGGCGACCAGCTGTAGCTCCCCTGTTAACTACACTGCCTCACCACAGAAGAAAACAATCAGCTGACTGCAGTCTACCAGAGCACGTTGAAACAGGCAGAGGGCTGTGTAAATAATTATAATAAAAACAGACCCAGTCACTTCTCTCCTGGAAACATTCATGACTTGCTAACCCTCCCGTTTTTCACTGCCCTCTCCCGACTTCCTCCCGGCTCACAGCAGTTTAATAGTGTTGGAAGCTACGCTGCTCTGTGAAAAAAATAAAGCTTTGAAATCACCCTTTATAGTATTTTCACAAAAGGAATAAAAGGTTTCACAGATCTGAAGCTGTTTATAGAAACTTTAGCCTCTCTTGGACAATCTAGTCCAGATTTGAGAGCTCTGGGTATGGTGGTTTTGGATCTGGACCTGGTCTAATGTGGTCTACACATGGAGAAAAAGCTGTGAAATCGCCCTTCTTTCATTTTCATAAATAAAATAAAGTTCAATTCTAAAAAAGTGTTTCAGACAGCGTTAAGGCTTTGCCTGAAATGCCTAACAGCTTTCAAAGCAGTAAGAGGTGCAAGAAACGGAGAATCAGTCGCTCAGCAATATAAGTTAACTTTCCCCTTAACTGCCGAATCAGAAGCTGTAGTTTCTGGTGTATTCTAAATATATCTGCCAGCCGCCTGTCTGCAGTTAGTCGGCGTGTCTGAAATGATTAAACCAGAGCAGACAGGGTGTAGGAGCCATACACTGGGTTTGTTTGGGTTTTTATTGGGTTTCCTCTCTTTTCTTTGCACTGTAGTGTACATGCACGCGCATCGTGACGTCATCAGTTACTGTGGGTGTGACTGGGGGCGTGGTGTCTGTATTAATGTGTGTGTGTGTTCACCTGTGAGGAAGCTTGGGTTGATCATGGCTGCAGGGTGAGCATGGGGAAGAACTTTCTGTTGACCGTTACCATCGTCGTCAACATCTTTCACTGATGTCTCTGAGGTACCTTTTGCACTACTTACAACATGCATCACTCAAAGTAAGTGATTGGTTTTCTATGTATGTGAAATAGCGTAATAAAGAGACTTAATATGCACGATGGTTCAGCGTGACGCGTCTTCAGTGTAAATCCTCATGTTTCAGCCTGCTGTGGCGTTTTAGTTGTTTTGGTGGGTCTGGTTTGTTTGTTTTAGTGGTATACACCGCAATACAGGGGATTAAACGTGAGCTGAACAAGAATCTAACACGGCTTCCTGTAGCTCCTCTTTTTGTGACGACGTAGATGTGAAACGCTGTAGTCTGAGCCGTAACGGCTCTGGTTGTAGTTATAACGTTATTGATGTGCAATTGTTTACATGTTCACTTTTTGAGACAGTAATCTATTTTATTTACATAATCCATTTAGGAAAAGGTTTTATAGCCCACATACATACCAGCTTTCAATACCGGCCTGTTTTAAGTGTAGTTTATACAGTAAAGCCATGGTTCAGATTACGAGGGTCTGACCCTCCTAGTTAAGGCTTGGACCCCCCAAAAGAGGCAAAAGCAACAGTTCAGGGGGGTCTTTCTTACCTGTCATTGAAAATATTACAATATACTTCCCGTACTCATGCCTTATATTCAAGAATCGATTTCCCCTAAAACGGACCGTACCATTTCCTAACATTGACGTTAGTTGAACGTCTGTCGGCTCCAGTCTGGTTCCTCACACGCTAATGGAGACGCAGCGGTTTAATGTCAGTTAACTATCTAGCTGCTTTAATACACTTATCTTTCCTACCTTCAGAGATGCGTAATTAGCATTTCTTTTACTCAAAATGATCTATCTGTTGTTAGCTAGCTGAGAGCCCGTCATTTCATTATAACTATGTAATTTCATATTTTATGTAATTGTCAGCTAACACTGGTGTTTAGGCTTGAGCAGTGAAATTGGGGATTAGTCATTGTAGAGATATATTTTAAAGTGTTTTGTGAGTCCTTTCACAATAAACATGGCCTTTGTTTTAACTCTTCCCAATTCCCCAACAGCAGTGTTTGTCAGACTTCTGCTTTGTTGGACGCAGAGGGAAGGAGATATTTGCTACAAACGAGCAAGTTGAAACTTTAAACATGATAAAAAATTAGGAATTAGAGATGATAATTCAGACTGTATTTTACACTGTGTGGGTCTGTTTTGAGCGGTCACGATGGTCTGCTGATGTGACTTTCTGGCAGTTTTGCTGTAGAATTCTTGGTGACCTCTGACTACAGAAGTTGGTGTGTGTTATTGGGGCACCCATGAACTGGTGTCAGGAATTTGATTTATCATCATCTACAGACGGATGACAAATAGGCAAGGATATTGTAAGATTTTAGTTGACTGAAGCCCGCGTCTCTGCTGTACTGGGTTTTCTTTTGGACCTGGAAAAAAAAGTTGGTTGTCACTGTATAATTCGCACACTGAGTGAAGGGGTCTGCTGTCCAAATCATTCTTAAAATCTCAATATCGGCTCATAAATCAGCTCTTTTTCACTTTAATATCGGCATTGGTCCCAAAAACCCATATCGGTCGGGCTCTAAATACGTCTCTGAATGAGATCAACATTTCTGAAGTTTCCTGTAGAACATACAACAACTTTGTCCAACCACATCCAGGTCGGTTCACTAAAAGTTTACGAGCATCTTTCTGCAGACGGCTGCATGAAAGGCACCAAAGCTTGGAAACCTCAGAAACTTCCATGCCCTGCCTACAATAGCCAATGAGTGTCCACATAGTCAGGAAGTGCCACTCCCCTTTCTTGGTGTATACATCGAGCCACCCAATGTGCTTCACACATACATATTACGCAACAGTTAAAAAAATAAACAAGAATATTTTTATCACAGACATAATTATATACTGTCGAATTTAAAACGCCCTGCACAGCGTCGGAATACTTTAAGCCCTACACATCTTAAACTAAACGCAGCTCTTGAAGCAGTTCAGCTTATTTGATGAAGCTGATGTACCTGCATGGTTCTTGTCATTTCTGGGTTGAATGTTCTTATTGTAAGTCTCTAAATAAACCTAATGTAATGAAATGTAGCAGGTTCCATGTTTAAGATGTACAGATGTCCAGTCTTACTTTGTACAGAGCTGCTCTGACTGGCTGTCTGCAGTCCAGCTCTGGTTCTGGATCTGTCTCCACACTGGGGACAGGAGGAGTGTCCCGATGAAGCAGACTGGTCCCAGTATGAGGTGATGCACCGTCTGCAGAACCAGTGTCCACAGCTGGTAGAGACTGGATCCTTCAGGACGTCCTGACACAAAGCACAGCAGGACGGCTGCTCCTCCACAGAAACAGGACTCCTCTTCCTCTCTCTGTGAAGACATTTCTTTAGTTGATCTTTGTTGAATTGTTTTAAATATTTACAGCAACGTCAACATGTGAGAAAAGATATGAAGAGTTTCTTGAAGTGTAAATCCTGAACTGGAGGTTCTCAGGTGTTTTGGTCTTAGTTTGAAACAGAATCTGCACTAATAGTTCTGCATCAGGAATATAAATCTGTTAGCAGAACATTTTGTCTTCATCCTCAATGCATCATCTTCCATCAGGTCAGTTTACAGTAAAAACTGTCTCTTACTTTGTGTCTGAGGGTCCAGGTTCAGGACTGAAGTCTGGAGGTTTAAGGTGGGACCGGTCACTCTTCAGAGACAGACAGATGGATCCTGCAGACTCTGCTCTGTCCTCCTCTTCCATCTTCTGGTCTGAAGTCAGTCTGAGAGGTGTAACAGTGACACTGACTGTGAGCTCAGAACACAAGAACCAGGAAAAACTAGTTTGTTCAAGAGTCAGACGCAAGACTGAGAGAACAGAAGTAAACTAACAGCAGCCAGTCAGGACTTTGTGTCCACAGATGAATCCAAGTGTTGAGTTCACTCTAAAGTTTCTTTCCTCTACAGTCCACAGGGAGAAAACTGACTCAGAGACTTTGACAGTAACATAAGAAAATGTTGGATTAACATCTGTCCACTCTAAACGGAGTCTGAACAGACTGAATACATTCTCTTCCTGTTCTCATGAGCCTGCTCACCTCTTCATGTACATAAAAAGCACATGTCTGTCTGTGTGCTACGTGATGTGTTTATCTTGGTTTTAACAGATTAAATTAAAATGTATTATTGATTTATTTTATAAAGTTTTAGTCAAAATGTTGACACATAAATTATGTAAATATGTTTTGTTTAAGTTACAATTAAAGTGCTTTAAACTAAATCATCATCATCATCCTCAGTGGTTAAAAAACAAACTTAGAGCTGACAGTTTCATATATAAACAAGAAGTCAACAGAAAACATGGCAGAGGTTACAGAACATGAATCCTAAAAATGTTAGCAGCAGTTCTCTTACTTTGTGTCTGAGGGTCCAGGTTCTTTACTGAAGTCTGGAGGTTTAAGGTGGGACCGGTCACTCTTCAGAGACAGACAGCTGGATCCTGCAGACTCTGCTCTCTGTCTGTTGGACTGAACTCTGCAAACACAAAGATATAATGTATAAACAAAAAATCAACAGAAAACATGGCAGAAGTAACTGAAAATTAGTCATAAATGAGTTAGTTGCAGATCTCTTACTTTGTGTCTGAGGGTCCAGGTTCTTTACTGAAGTCTGGAGGTTTAAGGTGGGACCGGTTACTCTTCAGAGACAGACAGATGGATCCTGCAGACTCTGCTCTGTCCTCCTCTTCCTCCACAGAAACACCCATCTTCTGGTCTGAAGTCAGTCTGAGAGGTGAAACAGTGACACTGACTGTGAGCTCAGAGCACAAGAACCAGGAAACAAGTTTGTTCAAGAGTCCGACGCAACACAGAGAAAACAGGAAGTAACACAGAAACTAACAGCAGCCAGTCAGGACTTTGTGTCCACAGATTAATCAAAGTTAAATAAATTAAAATGTTGGATTAACATCTGTCCACTCTAAACGGAGTCTGAACAGACTGAATACATTCTCTTCCTGTTCTCATGAGCCTGACCCCCCCTAATGTACATGAATCGCACATGTCTGTCTGTCACCCAAAGTCCTCGCTTTGAACTAATTTGCATGTGGGAGATCCCTGTGAATCAACATGCAGGATAACGATGTACAAACTACATCCAGAATCTACATGACTGGTTGACAGAAGCCGTGATTTAAAAAAAATACAATATTATACAAATACACTTAGCAGACTGACATTAAAACTAAAGGCTCTTGCTCAATTTGGTCTCCTTTCCACAAGCTAAATGTTAAAGGATTCTGGGAAAGTATAGTAAGCAATTCAAAGATACCAGTGACCAGACAAAATATTAATATTGCACATTTCTGCCATTAATACTACATAAATGTCACACTGTCACAAAGATCTGGAAACATTTTTAAACTTAAACTCCGATCTTAGTGGGCATGTTTCCACACCAGCTTCATATTAAGGGCCGGCTGTATCAACAGTGAACAGTTCCACTGCGAAGAGAAAACAATAATGCAACCTGCTGACTGATGCATCTCTTCATTAAGGATGTCTAGAAATAGTAAACCAACAGTAATAAAATGTTTGTTTTCAAAGATTATTTAGATTAACAATGTTAAACGGCTGCAATGACTAACTTTTATTTACCCATTCCCCCCCCACTGACTTATCCTAAACAATACATCTGTTTCTAAGCATGATTCTGAAAATAAGAATCAGCACCTTTGCTTTTGGAATATAAGAAAAAACATTTTCTTGGCATTTACAGATAAAACAGAAATTCTTTTCGTTGAGGTCTTAAACCCTTTGGTTAATTAAGGCGTCACTGCACAGGTGATGAATATTGCTGCCTTGTTAATATACTGTCCTCCTCAAGGTTAAAGACTGTGACTTAAACAGAATGTTTACCCAGAGCACAGTAATATATTCATCCCATTTGCTTAGCATCTTTGGGTAGTTTTCTTTCAGTCTCTTAATTTCCTTCCCGTTAATAAATGCCTTATTAACGTCTCCTCTCTTTCCTGCTGCCTCCACAGCTGGCCATAAACACGTCATCTGAAGTCCGGTCCTCTTTGAAGTGGAGCCGGTTGTTCTTAAGGTAGTAGTTCTTCTTAGATCCTCTCCACAACACATCTCTGGCCGTTCGTGAAGGGAACCTGATGTTCACTGGTCGCACTGAGTGACTGGATCCTTCATCTTTGGATCTATCTATTGCCTTTACTCGGACTCAGAGACAGGTAGCATTGCACTGGTGATCATCCTCTTATCTTTCAGGAACACCAAGAAGGCGGAGGTTATAACGTCAGCTGTAACGATCAACTTCAGTGACTTTAAGCTCTGTGACTTGTTTTCTGAAGTTGCTCACATTTGTCTCTGAGAGCCATGTTCTGTTTTTTCAAATCCACTACTCAGAGAGTCATGGTTCCTCGTTACAGTTTTGCAGTAAGTGTGTGTTCCCTTTTTGGTTACCTTTAGTCTACAGTTGGCCGTTTCACTGGCGTGTTCTGAGAAGAAGTGCATTCTTCATCATTTTTATCTTGGCGAGCGCAGCAGTGAATCTCTCTTATGTTTCGTTTTACTTTTCTGCAAAGTGCAGATCTTCCAGCCTAAGGAGCTCCTCTTCGCCTGAGTTTTCCATCATTGGATTTTGTTGTTAGCATAAGCTAACTTACTCAACTTTAGTTCTAAATTTAGTACTCATGGTGTGAACAACGGTGAATAATTAAAGGGAAAGGTCTCCTTCAAAGATATCTATCAACTTTGGCAACGACTGGATCATTTAAAAAGCATTTGTGCAGTAATTCCCACATTTCCTTCATCGTCTGAAAATGCGACACGACATGCCGCCATCTTAAGTCGGCCTTGAGGAAAAACTGGTTTGTTCAAAGAAGACGCAAAACTGAGAGAACAGGAAGTAACAGACACACTAAGAGCAGCCAGTCAGGACTTTGTGTCCACAGATGAATCCAAGTGTTGAGTTCACTCTAAAGTTTCTTTCCTCTACAGTCCGCAGGGAGAAAACTGACTCAGAGACTTTGACAGTAACATAATTTAAAGTTTGATTACCACTCACCCTGCCTCAGCCTTCTGCTTTCCTCCTTCTGTCAACTCAAAATGGAGTCTGAACTGACTGAACTGTTTCAGCTTCAGGCTGCTTCCTGTTCTCTTGAGCCTGCTCACTGCCTCGCCTCTCCATTTACAGGAAGTCACGAGTCAGTGTGTGTTAGGCTACATGATGCGTTTATCAGCATCTCTCTCGGCTATAACAGATTAAATTAAAATGTATTATTTTATATAACGTTTTGGTCAAAATGTTGTTACAAAAATTAAATCTGTTTTGTTTAAGTTGCAATTAAAATGCTTATCATCATCATCAGTGGTTAAAAAACAAACTTAGAGCAAAACTGAGTTTTATTAAATCAGAGTTTCATTATAACGTGTCTGCAGCAGTGATGGACAAGTTACTCAGAAATTGTAATACATTACTAGTTACTTATTACTGGGAGATAAAAGAAACTAGTTACGTCACTATATTACTTTCCAGTGGTTCCCACAGAATGACGGGGGGGGGGGTATTCAAACTTTGGACAGGTGCAGCGGTGTTCACGAGAAAGAGAGAAAGAGTGAGTGAGGATGTGCTGCAGGAATATACGCTCCTCAATCAAACATGATTTTAATACGACTAGTAAAAAAAAATTGAAAATCTATATGTGGCAGTCAGCGTTGATAATTATCCAAATTATAGGCTAATTATGGGAAACACTGCTTTCACTACCGCCCCCAAACAAAGCTTCTCTCCCGACTTCATATTCATAACAGCAGCAGGGAGTTTTTGCAAAGCATATGGGTAATTTTTTTTTATAGGGCTATAATATATATTGGACTTTATAACAGCTGTGGTTCAGGAGGTAGAGCGGGTTGGCCGTTAATCGGAAGGTCGGCGGTTCCATCCCCGGCTCCCCCAATTGCATGTCGAAGTGTCCTTGGGCAAGATACTGAACCCCGAATTGCCCCTGGTGGCTGTTCCGCCAGTATGAATGAGTGTGAATGTTAGTTTCTGTTCGGTGTATGAATGCATGTTAATGGTGAATGCAGATGACGTGTAAAAGCGCTTTGAGTGGTCGAAAAGACTTGAAAGGCGCTATACAAATACAGAGCATTTACACAACTTGGGATAAATAAATAGTTAATTTACCTATATTTTAAAGTTCTATTATATAAAGAATACATCTAACTTTATGAAAAACAGGCACCTTTATTGTATTAAATATAGATAAATTAACAACATGTGACACGCGGGAAATGTTAAGGACTTAGACGTAACTGTCTAAAAGTGTTTTCAGGGTATGATTGCTACTAAAATAACAATCACATATCCCATAACGGCTAGCATGACCTTCAATACTAGATGAGCAATCTATAATTTTTCACAAACCGTTTTTGAAATGATTTAATTTGATTGATCTCCTCAAAACTTAACAGGGTGAACATGTTCAAACACATTAAACTGACTAAAAAATGTCAAAAGCAGATAGTCAGAGAGCTAGAAAATCACACAGCTAAATTCCCCCCACTGGTGTGATGTCACCAGGTCACCTGACGAGAGTGATTTCGGTAAAAAAAAAAAAAAAAAAACTCAACAGGGTGGACAGTGGGTTGCTGCATGGGGAAAAACATGAAACCTTCTTTTTTAACAATTTTGATAAAAACAACATTTGATTTAAATAGATTTTGATCAGGTTATAACGTCAGCTGTAATGATCAACTTCAGTGACTTTAAGCTCTGTGACTTGTTTTCTGAAGTTGCTCACATTTGTCTCTGAGAGCCATGTTCTGTTTTTTCAAATCCACTACTCAGAGAGTGATGGTTCCTCGTTACAGTTTTGCAGGAAGTGTGTGTTCCCTTTTCGGTTATCTTTAGTCTACAGTTGGCCGTTTCACTGGCGTGTTCTGAGAAGAAGTGCATTCTTCATTTTTATCTTGGCGAGCGCAGCAGTGAATCTCTCTTATGTTTATGTTTCTTTACTTTTCTGCAAAGTGCAGATCTTCCAGCCTAAGGAGCTCCTCTTCGCCTGAGTTTTCCATCATTGGATTTTGTTGTTAGCATAAGCTAACTTACTCAACTTTAGTTCTAAATTTAGTACTCATGGAGTGAACAACGGTGAATAATTAAAGGGAAAGGTCTCCTTCAAAGATATCTATCAACTTTGGCAACGACTGGATCATTTAAAAAGCATTTGTGCAGTAATTCCCACATTTCCTTCATCGTCTGAAAATGCGACACGACATGCCGCCATCTTAAGTCGGCCTTGAGGAAAAACTGGTTTGTTCAAAGAAGACGCAAAACTGATAGAACAGGAAGTAACAGACACACTAACAGCAGCCAGTCAGGACTTTGTGTCCACAGATGAATCCAAGTGTTGAGTTCACTCTAAAGTTTCTTTCCTCTACAGTCCGCAGGGAGAAAACTGACTCAGAGACTTTGACAGTAACATAATTTAAAGTTTGATTACCACTCACCCTGCGTCAGCCTTCTGCTTTCCTCCTCCTGTCAACTCAAAATGGAGTCTGAACTGACTGAACTGTTTCAGCTTCAGGCTGCTTCCTGTTCTCTTGAGCCTGCTCACTGCCTCGCCTCTCCATTTACAGGAAGTCACGAGTCAGTGTGTGTTCGGCTACATGATGCGTTTATCAGCATCTCTCTCGGCTATAACAGATTAAATTAAAATGTATTATTTTATATAACGTTTTGGTGAAAATGTTGTTACATAAATTAAATCTGTTTTGTTTAAGTTGCAATTAAAATGCTTATCATCATCATCAGTGGTTAAAAAACAAACTTAGAGCGGTGAACCGTTTTTGAAATGATTTAATTTGATCTCTGCCACTAGGGGCGCTAAAGATAGTGGTCTCTGCCACACAGACTACTGGTCGCTGCCACTAGGGGCGCTAAAGATAGTGGTCTCTGCCACACAGACCACTGGTCGCTACCACTAGGGGCGCTAAAGATAGTGGTCGCTGCCACACAGACCACTGGTCGCTGCCTTGCTGCCCCACGAACCACTGGTCGCTACCACTAGGGGCGCTAAAGATAGTGGTCTCTGCCACACAGACCACTGGTCGCTACCACTAGGGGCGCTAAAGATAGTGGTCTCTGCCACACAGACTACTGGTCGCTGCCACTAGGGGCGCTAAAGATAGTGGTCGCTGCCACACAGACCACTGGTCGCTGCCACTAGGGGCGCTAAAGATAGTGGTCGCTGCCACACAGACCACTGGTCGCTGCCTTGCTGCCCCACGAACCACTGGTCGCTACCACTAGGGGCGCTAAAGATAGTGGTCTCTGCCACACAGACCACTGGTCGCTACCACTAGGGGCGCTAAAGATAGTGGTCTCTGCCACACAGACCACTGGTTGCTGCCTTGCTGCCCCACGAACCACTGGTCGCTGCCACTAGGGGCGCTAAAGATAGTGGTCTCTGCCACACAGACCACTGGTCGCTGCCTTGCTGCCCCACGAACCACTGGTCGCTACCACTAGGGGCGCTAAAGATAGTGGTCTCTGCCACACAGACCACTGGTCGCTACCACTAGGGGCGCTAAAGCTAGTGGTCTCTGCCACACAGACCACTGGTTGCTGCCTTGCTGCCCCACGAACCACTGGTCGCTGCCACTAGGGGCGCTAAAGATAGTGGTCTCTGCCACACAGACCACTGGTCGCTACCACTAGGGGCGCTAAAGATAGTGGTCTCTGCCACACAGACCACTGGTCGCTGCCTTGCTGCCCCACGAACCACTGGTCGCTACCACTAGGGGCACTAAAGATAGTGGTCGCTGCCACACAGACCACTACAAATCATGTTATTGAGACGAGGCTCTACAGTCTTGGGTTGCTGCCACACTGGTTGTTGTGGTCACTGCCACTAGGGGCGCTAAAGACGGTGGTTGCTGCCACGGTGGTCGCTGCCACTAGGGGCGCTGAAGACGGTGGTCGCTGCCACTAGGGGCGCTAAAGACGGTGGTCGCTGCCACACTGACCACTGGTCGCTACCACTAGGGGCGCTAAAGACGGTGGTCGCTGCCACACCGGTCGGTGTGGTTGCTGCCACAAGGGGCGCTGAAGATAGTGGTCGCTGTCACACAGACCACTGGTCGCTACCACTAGGGGCGCTAAAGATAGTGGTCGCTGCCACACAGACCACTGGTCGCTACCACTAGGGGCGCTAAAGATAGTGGTCTCTGCCACACAGACCACTGGTCGCTGCCTTGCTGCCCCACGAACCACTGGTCGCTGCCACTAGGGGCGCTAAAGATAGTGGTCGCTGCCACACAGACCACTGGTCGCTGCCTTGCTGCCCCACGAACCACTGGTCGCTACCACTAGGGGCGCTAAAGATAGTGGTCGCTGCCACACAGACCACTGGTCGCTGCCTTGCTGCCCCACGAACCACTGGTCGCTACCACTAGGGGCACTAAAGATAGTGGTCGCTGCCACACAGACCACTACAAATCATGTTATTGAGACGAGGCTCTACAGTCTTGGGTTGCTGCCACACTGGTTGTTGTGGTCACTGCCACTAGGGGCGCTAAAGACGGTGGTTGCTGCCACACCGGTCGGTGTGGTCACTACCACTAGGGGCGCTGAAGACGGTGGTCGCTGCCACTAGGGGCGCTGAAGACGGTGGTCGCTGCCACTAGGGGCGCTGAAGACGGTGGTCGGTGCCACACCGGTCGGTGTGGTCGCTGCCACACAGACCACTGGTCGCTGCCTTGCTGCCCCACGAACCACTGGTCGCTACCACTAGGGGCACTAAAGATAGTGGTCGCTGCCACACAGACCACTACAAATCATGTTATTGAGACGAGGCTCTACAGTCTTGGGTTGCTGCCACACTGGTTGTTGTGGTCACTGCCACTAGGGGCGCTAAAGACGGTGGTTGCTGCCACACCGGTCGGTGTGGTCACTACCACTAGGGGCGCTGAAGACGGTGGTCGCTGCCACTAGGGGCGCTGAAGACGGTGGTCGCTGCCACTAGGGGCGCTGAAGATGGTGGTCGGTGCCACACCGGTCGGTGTGGTCGCTGTCACACTGACCACTGGTTGCGGTTGGTTGTATCTACTATGTAATACATCTTTATCATAATTCTTTGTTAAATATACTATGTTATCGATTATGCCTACTCTTATTGTTGCACTATATATTGTGGTTTGTGTGGTTATAGCCTTTCTACAGTAACAAATATATCTAGATCATAATACTTTGTTAAACATAGCTTACTAATTTTTGATTAACTATATTCTTATTGTTAAAATCAGTCTAACTTGGATTCAACCAACAAGTGGTCACCACACTTCACAGGTGACAACACTGGCCTTCTTCTTGTAGGCAAGAACCAAAAATAGAGAGATTTATTACTGCAGGTTAACCACACAAACTGCAATGTACAGTGCACCAATAAGAATATAGGCATAATCGATAATATTGTAGGCTATATTTATCAAAGTATTGTGATCTAGATAGATGTATTAGCCTACTGTTGATTGGCTACAACCACACAAACTGCAATGTACTGTACGCCTACAGTACATCAATAAGATATAATAGAGTATATTTTACAAAGTGTTGTGATATAGTAAGATGTACACACACACACACACTTTCATTCACAGGTGATAACACAGGTCTTGTTATAGGCAAGGACTAAAGATAGATAGATGTAGGCTATTACTGTAGGTATAACCACACAAACTGCAATATATAGTGCAACAATAAGAGTAGGCATAATCCATAATATTTTAACAAAGAATTATGATAAAGATGTATTACAGTAGATATAACCAACTGCAACCAGTGGTCAGTGTGGCAGCAGCGTCATCTCATGCCCACACGCACAAACACACACACAGCGGTCCACTACTTGCCCCTGATGTCTGCGATATTGCAACAAAGTTTGAGTTTCAATAGCGTGAAAAATGCCACCAAAGACTATTGCTCAAGGAGAGACGCAATTTCGCCCTTTATGATAGGTATAATATTTAAGTGTTGTTATTTTACGCACTGATGGCCGCCGGCACACCATAGCAAGCATATTATCATATGTAGCGCTGTGCTAATTGGAGGATGCATCAAAAAGCCAATAATGCTAAACAAATAAGCAGCAGTCAATACAGAGTCTGATTCTAGTTTCATGTTAACGGCCTTAACCTGTTTGTTCAAAACTGTGAGCACGATAGTGGCCGATGGTGGAGAAGTGCAGCCATCCTGTCAGTCATGCGGTGCACAGCGTAAAGTAGTTCATTAGGAAAGTATGCTCATTTAAGTCTGTTTATCTTTTTAATGTAAATAATTAACAGATTTGTTCAAGTTCATTCTTAATCCTGATACAGTAGAAAATTGCTTTGATCCATTCCTCTCTATTAGACAAAAAGAAAATTTTATCATCTGCCAGTTGAGATAATTTAAATGATCTAAGGTTACTTTAGGTCTACTTTGGAACCATAGACTGTAAAAAAAACTTGAAACTGACCTTTTTTAATACAGCCACAGTTTGTGTGATAAGGAACAGAAAGGAGCCTTCGCTTAGAGACTGTGGCAGCGACCAGTGGTCGGTGTGGCAGCCTGGCAGCAAGGCAGCGACCAGTCTCTTTAGCGCCCCTAGTGGCAGCGACCAGTCTCTTTAGCGCCCCTAGTGGCAGCGACCAGTCTCTTTAGCGCCCCTAGTGGCAGCGACCAGTCTCTTTAGCGCCCCTAGTGGCAGCGACCAGTATCTTTAGCGCCCCTAGTGGCAGCGACCAGTGGTCGGTGTGGCAGCGACCAGTATCTTTAGCGCCCCTAGTGGCAGCGACCAGTATCTTTAGCGCCCCTAGTGGCAGCGACCAGTGGTCAGTGTGGCAGCGAACAGACCACAGAATTGGCTACAACCCCTGCTGCAACTTTACATTAACACTGTCTCCCGACGAGTCCAAGCATCAGTGACAGCAGCTCCCGGAGTTTCTTTCTGTAAGTTTCACGTCGCTGCTTCAGCAGATGTTTCAATAAATCAGATGTAGAAATGTTCGCGGCTGAAAGCTTTTTGCTGCTCGCACAGAGTTTCCAATAGACGATAATGTTCTTTGCATGTTAGACTGTGACACAATAATGGCAGCAGCTACTTACAGCTGTAGAAAGAACGCCTCTCTCCCTTGTTCTCCTTCCTTCCTTTAGATTTTGTCACGCATTCACGTCAAGGATGGTGCGTTCATTAACGAGTAACGCAGCTTTACTTGCATTAGTAACTAGTAATCATATTGCCGTTTTAGAAACGTAATTAGTTAAACTACTAGTTACTGAGAAAAGTAACATTATTATAAAGCGTCTCTGCCCAACACTGGTCTGCAGACATTTTAATAATATTTCCCGGCATGTTCTCGGACAGCTGTAGCCGCGGGACCGCAGCATGGACGCGGACTGCGGGAGAGCCAGGACGCCGCCCGCTCCCCGGGTGAGTAGCTCTCCGAAACACCGGTACACACCATCTGGTTGTGGTGAAGTGGAATGGGCTGATTTTTGTGTCAGTACAAACTGAATTTGAATTGCTCAACTTGAATTTGAATGTATTAGCTTGAAACTGAATTCCAATAAACTTGAAACTGAATGTGATATTATGAATCTAAACTGAAACTGTATTTGAGCCTCACTAAAAATTCAAGTCTTTGTGTGTTTTCACTTTGAGTTCTCTAAATTCAATTTCAATCCACAAGATTCAGTTTTAAGGTCACAGGCAGGTCAAGGTCCTTGAGGAAGAGCAATCGACTGCAGATGCACAGAGCGCTTTTTCGGCCAATCAGCACTGGCTACTGGTGGGTGTTCTTATCCGGTTCAAGTAACTGGTGTTTGCCTACCGTGCTGCAAATGGCCCAGCCTGTCCACTATGCTCTGCTACTGCCAATCAGTTTGCTCCTCCTGGATCTGTCTCCACACTGGGGACAGGAGGAGTGTCCTGATGAAGCAGACTGGTCCCAGTATGAGGTGATGCACCGTCTGCAGAACCAGTGTCCACAGCTGGTAGAGACTGGATCCTTCAGGACGTCCTGACACAAAGCACAGCAGGACGGCTGCTCCTCCACAGGAACAGGACTCCTCTTTCTCTCTCTGTGGAGACATTTCTTTAGTTGATCTTTGTTGAATTGTTCTAAATCTTTACAGCAACTTCAACATGAGGGAAAAGATATGAAGATTTTCTTGAAGTGTAAATTCTGAACTGGAGGTTCTCAGGTGTTTTGCTCTTAGTTTGAAACAGAATCTGCACTAATAGTTCTGCATCAGGAATATAAATCTGTTAGCAGAACATTTTGTCTTCATCCTCAATGCATCATCTTCCATCAGGTCAGTTTACAGTAAAAACTGTCTCTTACTTTGTGTCTGAGGGTCCAGGTTCAGGACTGAAGTCTGGAGGTTTAAGGTGGGACCGGTCACTCTTCAGAGACAGACAGATGGATCCTGCAGACTCTGCTCTGTCCTCCTCTTCCATCTTCTGGTCTGAAGTCAGT